CTAAGTCAGGGGGTCTGGGTGTGTCCCTGGGGTCTCAATGTGTCCCTGAGGGGTCTGGATGTGCCCCTGAGGATCTGGATGTGTCCCTGGGGTCTCAATGTGTCCCTGAGGGGTCTGAATGTGTCCCTGAGGGGTCTGGATGTGCCCCTGGGGTCTGGATGTGCCCCTCGGGGGGTCTGGATGTTTCCCTGGGGGTCTGGATGTGTCCCTGGGGGTCTGGATGTGTCCCTGGAGGATCTGGATGTGCCCCTGGGGGGGTCTGGATGTGTCCCTGGATGCGTCCCTGGGGTCTGGATGTTTCCCTGGGGGTCTGGATGTGTCCCTGGGGTCTGGATGTGTCCCTGGATGTGTCCCTGGGGTCTGGATGTGCCCCTGGAGGATCTGGATGTGTCCCTGGGGTCTGGATGTGCCCCTGGAGGATCTGGATGTGCCCCTGGGGGGGTCTGGATGTGCCCCTGGGGGGGTCTAGATGTGTCCCTGGATGTGTCCCTGAGGATCTGGATGTGTCCCTGGATGTGCCCCTGGGGTCTGGATGTGCCCCTGGGGGGGTCTGGATGTGTCCCTGGAGGATCTGGATGTGTCCCTGGGGTCTGGATGTGCCCCTGGGGGGGTCTGGATGTGCCCCTGGGGGGGTCTGGATGTGTCCCTGGGGGTCCAATTTCATGGAATCCTGGAACCACCCCATGATTCTGGCCTTTGTTTTTGCAGCTCTGAGGGTGTTGGGGTTTTTTTTTGGCAATCCCACCGTTATTCCCGAGCTGGGAATGTCCTGGTGTTCTCCAGCCCCTCCTCCCTGTCCCCCGTGTCCATCCCAAATCCTTGGTTTTTCCCTTTCCCAGGCTTACAACGCCAAAACCAAGAGCTTTGAGGATCCTCCCAACCACGCCCGGAGCTCTGGGAACAAAGGGAAGGGGAAGGGGAAGGGGAAAGGTGAGTGATCCAAACCCAAATCCCGGCGTTCCCGACGGGAATCCTGGAACGGCCTTTTTAGGGCGTTTCATCCTTTGGAAATCAACTGATCCTTGAGGGGTTTCACCCCCCAACCCTCTGCTCCGTAACCTTGGGCTTTGGATCCCATTCCCAACCCAGGGAGAGCCCCGGGAATTATCCCTGCGTCCCTCAGATCCTTGGGAATGCTCTTCCAGGCTGCTGGGTGGAAAAGGGGGCAGTGAGGGGCTTCCCTTCCGAATTCCGGGCGGGAAAGGGGGTGGGAGGCGCTGGACTGATGGAGGAGGAGGAGCGGGAGGGAATGACCTGGCCCTGGGTGTGGCTTTTCCAGGGAAAGGCAAAGGGAAGCCGGTGAGCTCCGAGCAGAGCGAGGAACCGGCCGAGCTCAAACTTCCCAAGTTACGGACCCTGGACGTGTTCTCCGGCTGTGGGGGGTTGTCCGAGGGCTTCCACCAGGCAGGTGAGTCCTGGCATTCCCCCTCTGGGATCCCGTGTTCTCCAGGTCCGTGTTCTCCAGCCCCTTCCTCATGTTCTCCAGCCCTTTCTCCTGCTTTCCAATCCCTTCTCCGTGTTCTCCAGCCCTTTCTCCGTGTTCTTCAAACCCTTCTCCTCCTTTCCAACCCCTCCTCCTTGTTCTCCAACCCCTTCCCATGTTCTCCAGACCCTTCCCCGTGTTCTCCAGATCCACGTCCTCCACCCCCTTCCTGACCTCCCCCTCACTCCCCTCCCTCCCCCCCACCCAAATCCCCCCCGCCCCAGACCTGGTGACC